ACTTGTAACTTATAAATTTATATTCTCTAATTTTCATTGAAATCAACACTAAATTAGCAAAGCTTCTCTAAGTGAACATTTTTTATATTAACTGTAATATTATTCATGTACAATATTGTGTGTACAGATAAATATATTCAGATTCTTCAGTAACAAAGCTGTAGTTGTGCTGTTGGATTTTTTTACTTAGAACAGTTATTGATAAATATATGTTTAAAAGTAATGCCATGTTAAATTTCTACTTTAAACATAGTAAATTATAACTAAAATTAACCTGTATTAATAATAGATTTACCTTTCTATGCGTTCGTCATAAGATCGTGAAAGATTGTTTTTATCAAAATTCTTCAACTTTACTTTTTTATCCATAATGTATGATTATGGTTTCAGTAAGCACTACATAAACAAAACTTTTCGACAGCATTACAAACTTATTCATACACGCATTCAATAGTAATGTTCTGTACAATTCATAAATTTTCACAACCATTCACAGTTATACATATTTCCCTCCATATTCACTACAAAAAACAGAGCAAGAAAAGATATCAAAGTGATTCATTTAATTCTTATCTTATATATTTATATAATGAGTTATTGTCCTTTTTGTTTACAATATCATCTTTATTTACGATTACTAATAAAACAACCGAAAACCTTTTATTATATTAGAAACAAATTCAAATGATTCGAACTTTGTCATAGAATACGATGACATAGATGGAATATCGTTTTTCGTACTGTATCGTGAGTGGTAGTGGTAGAATAGAGAACTATTTTATTAGACTATTTTATTTAGTCCACATTTTCACTTACGGGAACATCGAGAGTTCCTATTAATGCTTGGACCTATTAAAAACGAGTACAATGCTGCTTGAATGAAATTGGACCAATGAGAAGTTAATCATGTGAGAGAAACTTATTCATGCGTTGTGATAGAGTCTATCTTGAATAAGTAGTACGTTTTATACAGTTAAGAAATAAGAGCAAGTTAATTTGAAATTTTCAAACTGTCAAATACTAAAGGAAATAATATAAATTGAAAATATTCAAATTTATTTAGTACCTGTAATATGTTTATAAAATTATAAAGTAGAAACGTCTTCGCGTCATTGATATCATATTCATTGAAAATCAGCCGAAAGGTAGAAGATAGGTAGCACATGAGGAAGTAGTGACCTTTCGTGTCCTTAAAACATCAGTTTCTTACTGACTGTGAAATCGACGACGTGAGGTTCAACTGATTTTTACACAGCTTTATTAAATTTCATTTTTCGTTAAATTTGTGCTTGGGTTTAGCAACTGAAAAAAAGGTAACGACGAATATAAATTCCATAGTTGTAATTATAAAATTATATATGTTTTATTTGATAGTTTTGTTTACTCTTCACAATAATGTCTAATACAGTTGAATAATTCAAAAATTTCATGATTAATATTAAACGTGCATTGAAAACATACTTCTGTAAGTCAATTATTAATTTTACATAAAATTAATGGTATATAAAATTATAGTATGAGATGGTAAACATTTATGTAAGTACGTTTACTTTTTTAAAAAATTATGAATATCTATGTAACGTATTCGATGAAGAAAATTTTGACCTTGAACATCATACATTTGTGAATGTTACTATCAAAAGTTTTATGTCGTTTCCTACTTTTAAATGTTCCATATAATTTATATATTCTGTATAATATAGTACTCAATTTTTATATTTTTATTTTAAGAGTAAAAATATGCAAATATTTTATTTTATTGTAATGAAAATAGTTTCCTCCATCATTTTATACAACTGTTCGTTATCTTTAGAAAATTTTAATTAATGAAATTAATTTTATGCTACACATCAATCACTCCGTTTCATATAACAATTTCTAAAATTGATCCTGTATATTATATTTTAAAAAACGATCTATACTAATGAATGAGAGATTATAACCTCTTCGTACACGTATGGAGATTAACTTTCAATAATGTTACTGACAACATTTCGTATCTTCTCCATTACTATTTAGATATGCATAATTGTTTATAAACTAACCGATTCAGAAATTTGATTTATAATATGTGAAGATATAGTTTAATGAAAATGATTCATGCATAATTTGTAATGAAATAATTTACATATATTTGTTAAACACTAGTTTAAACATTATAGTTTAATAATAATTTATCACATATTAAAATTATGACAGACGAACCATTCCTTATTTATATTTGGAATAATAGCAATTTTATCTAAAAGAAATTTAGAATTTAGAAAGGAACTATGGTTATAATATGAATAGAAACTGTTTATAACTTTGAAGAAAGCTTATTAATTTTACATGATGGTCTTACATAAACAAAAAGTAATGTTCTTTACGTTAGATAATTATAAAAAGGAAAATTAACAACAAGTATAACACCGTCATTTGGTAACTATAGAATCAATAATATTTTAACGTATATGATAGTCTTGAAATAAAATTTAGTAGATCACATAGAAAACCTTTCTTTTCATTTATGAAGAATGTTGCATTTATGACTTCTGAACTGTTATATTGAATCATTGGTTTGACGTCACTTCTACATTATATGATTATATAATAGTTCATGTCAACGATCACTTTGTTTTCACATCTTTTATTTATCAGTATATTGCTCAATAAAATTGACTTAACTTAATGACATTAAGGCAATGTTATAACTAATATAATTTTTAAAAATACTATTTTCGCGATATTATTTTATCGTCGCGCGTAATTTATATCGTTATTGTAAATTAGCGTACATCCTCTTGAAAGATTTCGATATCGATATCGTGGTCATGAAAAATGATTATCTTTTAAATTATCTTTCAACTCCAATTAAATAATTTTTATTTTATATTTTTATCTTTATGATCGGCTTTGTCGGCTTCTTTAAAATGGCGTCATCATCCCCAATGCATCATAAGGCTTTCATCGTTTTTTTTATACATCCGCTAGTCTGCGCATTTTACACAGTTATATTATTTGCAAATATGTAAAACACAGTAATATTAATAATTTAAAAAATATATATTGTATAATTCGAGCGACATGATGTTATGAAGGAGATATACGGGTGTCCTATATAATTATTACAATTATGTTGTAGCAGGTTTCCGCGGATTTCTTCGATGATTAAGGCGATCAACACAAAAATAAGTTAGAATTACAGTAGAATAAACTATATCTTTAAAACAAGTGAGGATAGAAAAAAATTTTAATAAGGCAAAATTTAATGGCACCAGACACTATGTATCCTTATTACTTTCATGCGTTAAGACAAATAAAAATTGAAATTACATAATTGATTAAAAATGGTTGAATTAAAAATCAATTTTATTAATGTAATTTATTTATGTGATTTCAGCAAATATAAAATTGAAATAATTCTGAATTGTTTTGAGTCGTAAGTATTTTCATTCTCTCTTTCATATAGAATCAATAAAATTTAGTCTTCTGCATCAAATAATAGTCCTGAGAATGTACTATACAATTTTAACAAAGTGCGATGGCATTTTTTCTGTTGCACTGTTGTGCAAAAATGCATGAAAATGACCTAAGAATGTACAGTGTCTAACACTAACGAATTTTGCTTTATATGATTAATTTCTACCCTGATTCTTTTCAAGACATAGTTTGTTCCAGTTCCATGGACACCTTGTACAGGATCTCTAAAGTCTGATGCTGTGACTGAAAAGGGGGTGCAATAGTCTTGCGAATCATTACAATAAATGATAGGCAAAAAAAGCTCATGAGGTTGGGCATTTCTTTACTTTCTCCTATTGCCACAATGTAATGATGCTCACCAATACCAACTTGTGTTCATTTAACCACCTTCTATCTACTACAACCAAAATTTTATTCAATATATAAACACAGATTGCTTGACAAAAGATAAATGATCCCTACAGAACTAAGTAACTGCATCAGTAGTTACCATTTCTTTGTACTTCCAAATGAATACTATATTTACATTCCCACTTACACACCCCAATTAACGCATTCAGTATTGCATGGACTATTGGTGAGCCATGTTAGACTCTTTTAAGTTTTATATCTTTAATCAAATTACTCTTCACAGTTCTAGACAAATAACGTAATAACGTACATCATCGATAGTCCAAGCGATGCGAATGGAAAATCACGTGAATTTAGCATAGCATTGAACGTGTTAATTCGGTAAGTTCATTGACAATTCTCAACTCCTCGATTCCATGTCAATGACGACGTTGAACTCTGATATTAATTTATTTCACGCGTTACGTCTGCCAACGCGAGAAGGGTCGTTTTCGTCATTAATAAGAACTTTGGAATAGAATGCGCCCACACGAATTTTGGTACACCTGCTGCATGCATTGGTACCGTCGTCGTGTATTACGTCCATCGGACGTCTTCAATTCCCCTCTCTACTTCCGCACATCGCGATACATCCATTGCTTGTCCGATAAGCAGCCTGCACTACGTGTGCGGACGAATGCAGCCAGACGTAGCCGCGGTATCATCGAAACCGTATTGCCACTAATTCCTGTCTCCTATTTATTTGCGCAGCCCGCCAAAATGGTCTGGATTACCGCCGACGATAAGGTACTATCCTCACCATTCAGTTAGTAAGCGAGTTACATTTTTGCAGTGATATTGCTCTCTGTGTGTTCATTGCACCTGTGCCCTTACATTTCAGTTGCGACGCACAGTACAGACGTGACCCTGTTGTATCCCGGCGGGTCATATAAAAACGTTTGCCGGATAGAAGAATCTTTGAAGCCAGAGAAACAAATTTTTCATTGGGTCTTTCGTTGAATCTTTAAAGCCGGAGAAATAAATTTTTCATTCAACGCGTCAACTGCTTCTGCATCAATGCTCAGACAACAAAACGTGGTGTTCACAATTTTTATCACGATTATCTCAGTATAAACTGAATTTTCCTCTGACTTCATTTTAAAATGGATTACTGATATGTGCTTTAATTCATTGAGCTGCAATCGAAATATATATGTGAAAGAAATTGTTTATTTTAGGAAAGTTTGTTACGTTACGGTTAAGTTAACAGTCTCATTTATTGTTAAACGAACTTCGAAATTGCTATAAGTAAAATTGAGAAAGAAGGTCAACATTTACCATACCATCTGGTCAATGATATACAATAAACTGTTAATGCAGATACTTTTTGCTGATCTTACATCTGCCCCGGCCTTGACTTTCGTGTTATCCTGACTTTTTCGAAAATAGCAGTGCACTGGTAATACCGTATTTAAAGGCGGTTAATGATTAGAGATTAATATTGTAGGATATTAATACATTGATTTAAAAAGTGGTTGCGATACGAATGGAAATTTATTTATCTACCAGATCTAATAAAGTTTCCCCGATCATGCCCATACGAACGCAGAATAAACCGAGAATTATAATTTCAAATTCGCAAACGTTTTTTTGTGACTCGTTCTGTTAGTTGGGGTCTATTTTAAGTCACAGTCGCTTGCGTAGCTTATCTGTTTGATTTACCTGTTTTGATTTTCACTTTAATACGTAAGAATTGAATTTTTACACTTGGTAAGTACTATTCGGTATATTTCCACCAAAACTACGTATCGTAGCAGATATTTTTTTTCATAATTATAGTTGTCTTCAATTTCTAGCTTAGAATGTGGTTCATTTTTATGGTTTATTTTGTGGTTTATTTTTTTTTCTTCGATTTTCGAACATTCTAAATTTTAGCGGGTTTATTGGAATGTTTTATGAACTACGTCAACTGAATTGAGAAATATGATCTTATATTCTACTGTAATTCGTTGGACTCAGTGTCAAGAATGCATTGAACCGCTTGCATAGTAATACACTGTATAATCATAAACGTGGGACCGAAAGCATAAATCCATTTAAAATTGCATTAACTTCTCGCATCCGGATTCCACAGCAATCATAGATAGCATCAGGCTTCTGTCGATGAAAAAGAATGAAATGTTCATATTACAGTTCGATAACGCATTTTTATTATCGCGATCTGCGTATTATAAGAGTGAATCACTTTATCTCGATGAATAATGATCTCTCCGAGCATTTGTTTCGATGAGCTTAATGCGTTGATTGGGAAATCAAGTTCCACGTTTACGGTTAAATTTGATGCGTATCCCTAGCTCGATAGCTATTCTTGCCGAAGTCTGCATTTTACGAAATTAAATGTTCCGATGGGCAGCGATGCTAAGCTATTCTTAGTTAGACAATGCGCTGTTAACATGGACAGTACTTGGAAATGTGAGATCCAGAAAGATACAACACGAGGAATGATAATTATCTTAATGTACAATAATGACCCTATTTGAAAAATAACTTTTTCGGGCGCCGAAGTCGAATCTGGCAACAGCCTTTGGAGCGACAGCAAGATATATTTTAAAATACTTAAACTGCTTAACCTAAGTACTAACACATGAGAAACTTAGCAATACATTTTCAAGAAGTAGATTAATTGTTCTTCTTCCTATGAGTCACTTCGTATCGTTTTTCAGGCTTGGTGTACTGAGCGCAACGTACGAATACTTTTAGTCACTTCTATGTTACTATTAATGTATAAAATTGAATTATATTCCTATGATTTTATAATCAGTATG